TTATCATTATCTAGTAGTAGTTGGAAACATGGTAGACTTAACTGGAAATAAGGTACAAATAGCTGGAAATAATATAGAAGTACTGTATTTACGTAGATAAGCTGCACCCCGAGTTTTGGGAACGTTTTTGAGTAAAAAAAGAAGACGGAAAATAACCTTAGTTTTCTCTTTTTGATTGCCACTTCGTGAACACTTGCGAACACAGCTTTCTTGGATTTAAAGTGCTTTTCCGCTGCTCGATTTTCGTGATCCATGCATTTTGTATGCAATTACAATCAGTTTATTTAACGTGGGGTGTATGATGATCTTGGAGACATAATTGTTAAGATTGATAATTGATACTATATTTAAAGAGTTGTTTTTCATTCCAAAGGTAAAAGCAAACTAGTAATTAACTTGAGTGATATAAATCTCATCGTGCTGCCAAACTTCTAAACATAAGGATCATGCCAAAACCGTTTCGTATTTGTTTAATATAAGGAACAATTTCTTAGGCTTATTTCTTGGGTATTAAAAATATTTACCCTGGATTCTTCACTTTAAGTGTGACAAAGTCGCTTAAATGAACAATGCAAATTAGCATAGCGTTACCAAAACAACTCCAAGACAAAACGATGGCTCAATAACCACGCACTTTTCAGTTTGATTTACTGACTTGTGTTTCTCAGAGCTAGATTTTCTGAGAATTTATAGTAATACTGAGAAGTTCGGTATTTCTAAGAAAACTATAAAATTTCAACTCGTGAATCAAGTTTACTCTTTTGTCAAAATCAACGCTCAATCTTCGTAGTATAGTAATATACGTGACATGGTGTAAAAACAAAGTGCACGGATTTTATGAGATGATTGGCCGGGATTCTGTTAGTGTTACGATCAATTCCGCGAAGACTCTATGCGCATTCCGCTTCTGTGATTTGCATTCTCTCTCTTTTCATTCTCTACTCAAACAGAAACAACATGATTCCAATACATAAAATGTGCTTTCTTGAGACATTTATAGCTTTAAAATCCTGACAATATTTCTGCATGTATAAGGCAGGACTTTACTGAAAGCTCTGCTGACGAAGGGTGTGATACGTTTGTTTACGTACGTCTCCATGACACTATCATCAATCGATCATCGAACAATGTTTATGAACCCATCCTTGTTTCAAGGACATTAAAAGACCTCAGATAAAGTTAACTCTTCTACATTTTCATTTTTTAAGAACTAGCCAACTATAGCCTTCCCCAATATTAACCCAAAACCTAAAACTTTAAACTGGAATTTCAAACCAGTTTGAAAAATTCAAACTGGTTTGAAAAATTCAAACCAGTTTAAAAAATTTCAAACCAAGGCACATTTCAAACCACAACATAAACRAAGAACAAGTTTTCCTTGACAAGTTTTGGTTGTGCCTGCACTATCTTTATGTCAACGGAGTACATCAACAACAACAAACAAAATGGCGTACATATATGAGAGGAGAAAGCAGAGAAGACTTGTTGCTTATGGACYTGGGGTGCTTTTGCTCCTGGAAAATATTATGGCCTGAGAACGCCATTTTGTTTGTTGTGAAGTGATCGCGCGAATAGACTGGGAGCTAATGTCCATTTACATGAGCAAATTTTGTCCTTGACAATATTTCCTTGTCAAGGAAAATTGTCCATTTTATCCCAAGGAAAAATTGCTCTTGTAAACGGCGCTCAAATAATTCAATGGTGAAATATTCCTGCAATTTCAGTGTTGCATCTTTGAGTTATGAAGGTTCAATCTTATGATGTTAATGAAAATGGTGTCMAAGAAGGCTTCACTAGGCTTCATTAGWTATACGAACTTTTAATTCTTGTCTTGAAGCAAACATTGTAATTTTATTTGACTAGGTTAAAATGTATCAATCCATAKAGCCATGAAATAATTCAGTCAAGAAAAAAATCTGTGACACCATTTTTGAATTAAACACAGTACTTTGGGTTTTAGTCTTATTTTTCTAGGTGCCATCGAAATTGGCTGGAAATCAGCTTTCTTTGAATTCTTTTTTCTAACATAAAACTGTTATTTCAGCGGTAACTTAAAAATAAATGCATGTTTTAAAATTTTCCAACTAAGTGCAACATTGCCTGTTTATTTTACGAAAATCGAGTTTAAAAACGTTCAGTGTGCGGAAGTGCAAATCACTATGAAACACCTTAAACCATCAAAACTCAAAGACGAAACACTGAAATGCACAAATATTTCACCATTCAATTATTTACTTTATATAGAATCAGCTCACAGAGAATCAGAAATTATTTTGACAGGCGTCATAGGCACTCTATATTCATGATTGAATTTCATGCTTCTGCAAAGTAGTTACTTGCAGTACCTTTGGTTCTTTGTATGGTGGAACAACMACTGAGAAATTACTAGTAAATGGTTCACTAAACACCCTYTTCCATCTGTTGTCATCTTCACCACTGAAACAAAGACAAATCTCACATGCATTCAAACTCACAATGCATTATGGTTCATAGCAACAAAATTTATCATTAACTGGGCCATTCTAAGAAAACAATGGTCATACTTTTCAAACTTTGTTACATAATATGTTACAGACTCTCCATCATTTGTTGTCCAATGTGCCCAGACATCACTTGATGTTAATGCAAAATCAATCAAACTTCCCTGAAAAAATATTCAATAATTACATAATTAAATAAATAAAACACACATCTTTTCTGAACACAAAACTACAATTCAACCTACTGGAGGCGAATAAATGTTTGAAACTGACACTATATAAACATCTAACCCATCAGCCAAAGCTTCATAGATACAAAACTGCAACAAAATAAAAGATATTAATACAAAAAACATATTAAGCCTATCACACTTGTTAGCACACAATCATACCTGATTTTGATATTGAAATGAAAGAAAGACACCAACATAAAGTTTATTTGTTTTGGGTTCAAATGTGATTTTCATTTTGTGCTGCTGTGCTAAAATAACAATGAGAATAGAACACAGGTGAGGTAGAGCTTGTAAGTATTATTTATAAAACTCATTAATATTCATAAGGCAAAACACAATAGAAATCATAGCCCATGAAGAGAGTTGTATATTACATACAGATTTCTTGTTCATTTGCATAAACTTTTACTCTGATTTTTTCAGTCAGATTGAAGTTTTTTTCAAAAGTTTCTTTAAAACCTGAGCTAATTTACCTTCACGTTTCATAAGTAATATACAATATTCGCGTGCGATCTGTATGAGGATTTAAAACAGCTCGCTTTCAGCTCGCTGTTTTAAATCCTCATACAGATCGCCCGCTCATATTGTATATATTACAAATATCACAATACTTACAACTAACAGCATTTGCATCAACATCATCCGGGACATCTTCAAGCATGTCTTTCACTGAAATGCACTCTTGCTTCTAAAATAACAGTTCAAATTTAAGTTAAAGCTTTTTTGGACAACTTTCTGTGCAAACCATCATATATCTGTTAGAATCTATCTTAGAAAAACAATATTTAAAATAAATGAAAGCTKGCTCAAAAAACAATCCCAATTATAACCAAGGAGAGCTAGCATAATTATGACAAATTTATTCCTCAAAAATTGACAAATGTTTTCAGAATTCTACATATCTTATGAGATAGTTCACCTGACAGGACCATATTCTAAGTTTATGGTCTCGACATAATGTAAACAGGCACATTTGCTGTCCAACAGGATAGATTCCAAGATCAATAATACCATCATGCGATGGAGAGTCTCCTCTTAAACTTGAAGGAACAATACCAGACCACAGTCTTTGCATCACACTTGATTGTTGAAGATCAAAGATCTCTGCTTCCTCTGAATCACAAGAAAAAGACTTTTAATATCAATTTAATGATCACAATTAATAGCACTTTTTACCATGCACTCCACTTGGTGGTAGTTTGACCAATAAAATACTCCCCACTTCAGTAGCCAGTGTAAAGAGGGCATGTCCATCTTGACAAAGCCAAGCTGATGATGCTGTACAACACTGTRAAAATGTAGCAAAATTCCATGGTTCTCGAAGTTCAGATATGGAAGTAGTATTGAATATTGAAGAAATACTTTGATTAAATGAAGATGTCACTCCAAAAGCCTGCAATATAATTTAATAATCAGTAATAAACAATATATATCACATCGACATAACAATAATGTCGATGAGACATGTATAATAGCTGTTAAACAAAGAACACCTAAAATATCGCATCCAAGATTGATTGAATTTCACAATGGCCATTAGGGGTTTAAAAAATATATTATTTTATAAATTAATACTTCGAATAAAACAAACTACACCTGGTATATTTTAAAATGATGTATACTTCTTTAAACTAGTAATCATAGTTATTTGTTAGTTGTGGATTGGTTTGACATTTTTTTGAACTGGTAACCAGTTAATTTTTTAAAACTAGTTAATATTTGGATATCTAGCATTCTTAAAAGGGATTTTTATTTTTGAGGACTCATGGGGGGATGTTCTTAGAAGAACAATTACCTACCCCCCTACTACTCTTAACCAGTCCACCCTCTGTATTTCTTTGTATTTTTATGCAGTCGTAGGTGCTTCTATGGCAGCAAATGACTTAACACATGCACTTGTAAACCTTTTTTGGGGAATTTGAGCTTGAGTGCTGGCTAATCTAGCGAGCTCACAGGGAGCCCAAGCAATGACTTTGAACCTATAATAGTTCAAAATAATTTTTTCCTAAAAATATAGTCTACTTTTATTTTATTCAGTGTCACAATGTATTATAAATGAGTTTTAAAAAATTTCCCCTCCTTATATACATATATAGTGGCAAGGGAGGAGACTCCGCACGAAATTCTCCTAAAAATGAGCCAAAAACGATCGACAAAAATCCTTTTTGCGCACCGAAATTAAATCAAAACGAAATTTTATCTGATACAGCATATGTAAGTCAACGTTTTTTACCATATTTTGGACGAGAGGCATCGATAGAAACRCTTTTTCATCCAAAAMAGTGTCCTCAAAAATAGCCCAAAACCATCTGCATCAAGGTTATCCTGAGACCACTTGCACGCGCAAAACTGAAAGCTTGACAAATTTGGAGACWATGGGGGGCGGGCACTAGGGACAGTTTCACCTGTCACGGAGCACATTACAACTCTGCTTCATTGGGTTCTTTTGATTTTCTTACAGATAACTGCATACTTTAGATTACTATATTTGGAAATTTCAGAAGCGAAAACGTTCAAAATTATAACATGGACTTGTTTTTCGAAATCGTACGGTATGATCTGTTAATATTTATCGACTAAACACTGCAAAAATCGAGCAGCTTTTTTCAAGAACTTAACTATTTCATTAGTTATTTAACTATGCTATTTTTGTCCAAAAAACTTGACATTAAATGTCAGGTCTATTGAGATCGTTGAGTGTTAACTTTACGAAAAAAAAAAGCTATTAACTAGTTATGCTATTTTCGTCAAAAAGCTTGAGATAAAGGGTCAGGTGAGATCGTCGAGTTTAAACTGTGCGAAAACAGCGACAAATTGTAAGGTTTCGAGTCTTGGCAGCTTAGAGATGTTAGCCACTGTTCCTATTTATATCAAACCAAATCAAACAAATAAAAAACGTACCATTTTCACCATATATGAGAGGAGCGGTTAGTTGCGTGACAGGTGAAACTGTCCCGAGTGATCCCCCATAGTCTCCAAATTTGTCAAGTTTTCAGTTTTGCRCGCGCAAGTGGCCTCAGGATAACCTCGATGCGGATGGTTTCGGGCTATTTTCGAGGACACTTGCTTGGATTTTTTTGCCCGAAAAAGCGTTTCTATTGATRTAGGTTTAGATTATTTGTATCTGTGGTTATTTCAGCTGATATAAAACTTTTCTTAGGTGGATGGAGTTTTGAAGGTTGCTTGCAGGGGCAGTAGCTTTCATGTCCTTCCTTTATTTGTATTAATTATTTATTCGTATTAGATTTAGTAATTYCCTACTTTGGTGTTGTTCATCTRGCTTGGGTTTGTTTGATGTAATTTCTGGTTTGGCTAGCTGAGTGCTTTGTATTAGCTACTGCTTTCTTTGGTTTTGTAGGTTAGCTTTTAGGTCCTAGCCAACGTGCAAGCTCTTTTAGTGCACATGTTTTTTGGCTGCGCGCGCGTTTTGTTGTTTTCCGTTAGTCGCGTTTGATTTTGTAGCAATGGCGCGTGCAAAACACTCAGTTTGCTGAAGAAGGACGAAGTGCCGAAACGTTCAAATAAAAGTAGAAAACCTAGTTACAAGTTGCGTGGCTTTTTCTTCAATTTATTCTATTTATATATATATATATAGGGAGGGGAGATTTTTTAAAACCCATTTATAATGCATTGTGACACTGAAAAAATTAAAAGTAGATTATTTTTTTAAGTAAAATTTTATTTTTAACTATAATAGGTTTCAAAGTCAGTGCTTGGGCTCCCTGTGGCGAGCTGTCTCAAATATTGAAATCTACATTTCCTGAGGTATTTGAATTGAAAATAGTTTGATTGACAGCGACCTATTTGTTAAACAATTTATGGAATTCCAACACAGAAARATACTCCAAAATTGACAAATTTATCAACGTAGAGAATGAGTTAAGAGGGGCAGTAGCCACAAAAATGAAACTTTTATACAACGTTTTCAGTGGGATAAATATATTCAAGAAGGAGAGTACTCACATGTCTTTGAAGTCGRTTAGGATGTGAAAAGACAATCCTGTGGACACTATTTGTTGTTGCTACAAGTACACATACACTTGAAGTTGTCTCGAAGATTGACAACCCAGGTACTAATGTACCGTCAACGAAGCGGAGCCTTAAACTGTTACCAGATAAATTAACATGAAGAGATTCTTCTGCAAGTTCTAATGTACTATCTCTGATTCTCCTAAAGTGCAACAATTTAGAGTTAGCTGTGTATGTTCACGTAAGCTTAGTGAGTCAAACTTATTACCAATATATAAAACGATTGCTTGTAACAGAATGGACTTGAGAACTGCCATTGTACCCATATCCGCCTCCTGAATTACACTTCAGGGTTTCTTCATCTCTTATTTTAGTAGAAGGTTGTATACCAATRCTAAAGTCTATCAGACGAGGTCTTTCATTAGACGAAAACACTGTCACTTCACGGACACATTTGTCCATAGCAGCCATTTTTCCCGCTCACATCGCCACATGCGCTAGAGTACCTCGTTCCCAGGKCATATTGAAAATAGCAAGCAGAGAACACCTGGGAACGAGGATGTGAAGTTGGATGGGTTGTTACGATCGCGTCACTTATTTTCGCGAATTTAGCGATTTGAATGATAATGAAACATATCGCGGAAATTAGGAAGCGCGGAAATTAAGTGACGACACATAAAATACTTTTAATTTGAATCAGTCTTTCATGATCAGTAGTAATGGCGCTTGATTGTCTATACCATGTACAATCGCCAAATTTCGCTCGTCGACCAATGACTGTACGAGCATAGTTAATATCAACTATGGTACGAGGGTGTCAATGGGGTTAATAGTTAACTGACTTTTGGCTTAAAAAATAGTAGTTAACTGACTAATGAAAATCGTATAGTTAACTGACTTTCTTACTAACATTTAATTCAGGCGCGTAAAGCCCTTTACGCATATACGCACGTGCGTATTAGTGGGAAGGAAATATTAAAATTTTCGGGATTTGATGCCTTTTATATGCTCTCNGTCATATCAACGATCGTCAGTTTTGTTTATAAATTTACTGTACATAAACGTTTAGTAAGAATATGCAAGAGTTCTTGACGAATGTTATTAACAAGCAAATCGTTCATGATTTTGCTCCCAAGCTAGGGGTCAAGCTACAGGTTGCAGGATGCATTGTCCTGAGTCTGCACGATCACAACCAACGACTCTCATTCTTCTAGTCTTACTTTGCTATTACGCTGAAAGTAACGGTTTTATRCCCAAACCGAAACAGTCATCGATGACGCGAAAAATCTGGGATATCCACCAAACAAAAAAGGATCTGGGGGAAGAAGTTTGCGAAGCGATTTTTTTTTATTCACGCAGTTCCTTCCGCCATCAAGCAATATAATCGCTTCTGTCAAAAGGTAACCACTTCATTCGCATGCTTAGAACCACAAAACCTACCACAAACATCTTCTGCAACAAAATATTATAGCAAGAGGGTGTCTTATCAAGTGCAGTAATGGAAAGGGAACCGTCATCTTGATCCTGTCCAATATGGAAAATGGTTGACGGAAAGCGTTTGCCTATTGGAACTGATTTCAAGTGATTTGGAGATCATCAGAAGGTGCAACTGCAAAGCAGACTGCAGAACATTGCGATGCACTTGTAGAAAACATRGGCTAGAATGCTCGSCTTTTGAGGAACATGYGAAGGACAGAGTTGTTTAAATGTTGCAAGTCCAGACTTTGAAGATAAAGATWATAATGCAGTGCTAAACGATATTTAAGTAATTGACAATTGAAACATTAACGAACGTTAAAAATACATTTGTACATTCGTAGTATTCTCGCTGCTTGTAGCGTACGGGATCCCTGTGTTAATAGCGAGAAACTTATTGAATTTGTCAAATTTTAGAAAATAGTTATATTTTATAGTCAATTAATCACAATATAACAATATGACACAATGAAATGTATAAAATGGCTTGAAAAAGAAACAAAATATGTGTTTTTGTCAACCTCGTTCCCAGGGCTACTCTGCGCCCAGAGATAGCCCTGGCATCGGCCGGTCAAATATGGATTTTGATTTCACAGGCTTCCCAGTCTCTGAGGAGTTACGGGAGATGGGCTACCTGTGGCGACAAAATTAACGGCTTTTCACTTGTAGTCAAAATATCGTTTCTAAACCGTATCTTTTCATTCTTGAAATATCAAAAAACTTCAATAAAGATGTTTCAATAGTTTATGAACATTTTTGGGAGGGTTATTTCAGTGAAGAGAAAAGGGTAAAAGGCTGGCAGCCGATGGGTGTTGCAAATCGGCGAGCCTGCGAGCCACACCGCGAGCCATGCGAGCCATAGAAATAAATATAGAAAATGATATATCAGTAAATAAAATTAATAAAAATTAATTTAATTGTATATACTACATATAAATAATGGGGTGAGTGAGGGAWAATACGATACTGAAACTGCCTTTGTTTTGAATTGGACACGCGACGGGGAACTTTCTCACACTTCATTTTTACTAGCGATCAAATAGCACATTTCAAATAGCAGTTGCTTTGGTCACTCTCGATATTATAACTATTCCTCTTGATATTGCTCTTTCGTTTTTTTCCGTATTAAACAAAATATATGAAAATATATGAACTACGCATTCGCGACAAAAAGGCAGGCTATTTTGTACTTTAAAATAGATGATACTGCACTCAAGCGAATCGACTTATAGTTCAATACTCAGGAGACATTTTAAAATACACAAGAATCAAGTTATTTCATTTATTTTTTATTGTTGGGAAATATGCTAGCCGTGCATTTATGCTCCACGTCGTCCTCGGAGCTCAACTTGTCAACTGGCCAGCTACACAGCTACACTGGTGTACACTGGCTAACAGCTACAAATGCTGCTGGAAATAGTGTTTTTGTAGCCAAAGTTTCATGCTAAAATGGTACTGGTACGTATCTCACAAACTTTTCCGCACAAGCGATAAACTCCTCGTGCGGTTTATTTTGAGATTCAAGCAAAGGATAAATTYAAAAGGTATAGTATGTCTCCGTTTTTATATTACTGATTAGCCAAATAACGCAGCTTTGAGCGATCAAATTCGTTCGAAAACAGACTTTTTTAGAGTTATTACATTAAAAGTGCGTCTTGTCTTGTTTTTTTTTTAGCTTAGACTTTTATAATAAACTCGTTAGAAAACACGTTCATTTGTGTACTTGGTTTTGATATTGGCCATTGAACCTAACAATGTCTTCTATCTTGATTTTATTGCGGCGCTGAGAATAAAGACTCTTAAACCATAGGCTACCCAACTATTGTCAAACAGGAGCCCATTACTAGGAGCCTTCCTCTTCCCATTGGCTTGTGGAACGGCATTTACCCCTCTTGGTGCTATTTTTAGATTTTCCCGCCATTCCCCGCGCGCTTATTGAGATGCCGAGTTGTCGAAGATTGAATTTTAATTTAAGTTGTACAAGTGAAGAAATTTTCGCTTTTACAAAAACTATTTTGTAACAAAGGTTCAATGGCACCATTAACTATTATATTTAAATGTTTAAAGATAATGAAAAG